GACATTCTGGAGATGTGCAGAAGAGACCAATAAAACACGCCCCTGGAAATGACAAAAATTCAACTTGTAATGGTGGACGAAAAACGACTAACGAGATGCATCACGGTAAATCTCGCAAAATCTCATCATACGCAGCTTATTTCAATACAGGCAATGCAAATAGTCCACGAGATTCCAATCCTTCTCACTATACAAATCCTTGATTATTGACAGCACAGAATATCCCGTGATAAAACCTAAAGCTCCTAGAGCTCAGGCAACCTTTTCATCATATAAAAACAGAAACCCTGAAAATTCTTTAATGTTCGACACCTGGTGGTTTAGTCGCTTTCGAGACGCGACGGCCATACTTCCATGACGGCCATGGGATGTGTCGGCCATACCGTCACATCGTCCATGGGACATATCGGCCACACATTGTGAGACGTATCGTCCACACTTTAAAAAAATTTTTTTATTGAGGCTATAACATAAAATATAATAATAAAATAAGTATTTATTCATAATAATAACATTAATATGATTTTGTAGTATTTTTTTCTGTACAAGAGATCTTATTTATTCTTGTAAAAATTATATTTGCTTGATCATCATCACTCGTGTTTACAACTTGTTGGGGCCATATTATGTAAGTATATTGATTATTTCTTCATTATCAGTTATAAACAATTTCTGAAGAATAATTTTTGTTGTAATGTGATAGAAATTTAAAACAGGACTCAGTGTTAAGGTTAACTCTAAGGAAGGCAGTTCATCAAGTTCGAGTTATATTTGTCTAGTCCAAATAATTATGACGTCTTGAAAGGCTATTATATTTTTTTTCTTTGACGCGATGTAAGGCAGACAGAAATTAGTCTCCCATTCGGATATAGTCATTCATATTTGTTCATTTTGTTCTGTTTGTTATACGCAAGATATCAAAAAATTATTTAGAAAACAATATGATATTTTAATATTTTATTAGATTAAACACATTCATTTATGATATATATATAATGAGTAAACAAATGATATAACAAAATTAAACATGATAAATAATATAAAAACAGTAAAGTTTATTTAAAAGTTATAATAACCATCTATAAGTATCAAAATAATTCATATATAACATCTTTATAAAAAAAAAAAAACCATGGACGATACGTCTTCACAAAGTATGGCCGTTTTTGACATATGGCCGTTTCATCTTTTCGGGGTATGGCCGTTTCATCCTATGGACGTCATGGCAGTATGGCCGTCACGTCCTGCATCGGTTTAGTCAACTATGTCTCTAATGCATATGTTGGTTGTACCAGTGACTATGAAATGGTTGAAAGATGTAGAATAGTTCAATTATGTGATCCAGGTGATAGTGTGATGGCAGACAAAGGTTTAAATGTGCAAGATTTGTTTGCTAACTTTTTTCCAAAAAAGAAACAGAATTAGTTCCAAAACTCTTATACGGGATAGAAAAGTCTCCAATTAACACGTGCACATAGAGCGAATTATTGGACTTGGCAAAACATACAAAATTCTAATAAATCCTATGAATGGAACTGAAACAAAACTTTCATCTGAAATAACATTTAGTTGTTTTATGTTGTGTAATTTTAGAACTTGTATTGTACCAAAGGATGCATAAATAAAAGTGACGCAATGAATTTTGTTCTGATATATATATATTTTTACAATTACATGTACATGTAAATTGTAATGCATATAAAAATAAGGAGATGTGGTATGATATTCAGTGAGTTTATCGAACTAAAGTGCATAAGAAATGGGTTTAAGCAGTTACAGGTGTAACTGTCACCGTACAATCTCCAACAATGAGAAAAACTCGTACCGTGTAAAACATTTCAGAGATCTTACAACTAAGTTTTGTTGTCTCACCTTGACTTTGGTGAATTGTTTATATCTGTTGATGTAAATATAAAAAAGAAGATGTGGTATGATTGCCAATGAGACAACTCTCCACAAGAGACCAAATGACACAGAAATTAACAGTTAAGGTCACAGTACGGCCTTCAACAATGAGCAAAGCCCATACCGCACAGTCAGCTATAAAAGGCTTCGAAATGACAATGTAAAACAATTCAAACAAGAAAACTAACGGCCTAATTTATGTACAAAAAATGAACGAATATAACAAATATGCAACACATAAACAAACGACAACCACTGAATTACAGGCTCCTGACTTGGGACAGGCACATACATGTACATACAGAATGTGGCGGGGTTAAACATGTTAGCGGGATCCCAACCCTCCCCCTAACCTGGGACAGTGGTGAAACAGTACAATATAAGAACAAACTATAAAAATCAGTTGAAAGAGGCTTAACTCATCAGATGGATAAATGCAAATACAAGTGGACGTGGTCGGGTAGTTGTACATCCAAACAACAAAAAGACACTAAGTACAGATCTGAGAGTACTCGCAGTTACTGACAGCTAGTTCAAAGCCACTAACAACTGATAAAAATCTTGCATCTAAGACTAAATTATCAATCCGTAAGCTCCCTTTAGAATTTTATAAATTTCATATTTTACATTTCTGAGTTATGGGGTTTTATTCATTAAAAAAGGGGGGATTTTCCAGTTTTTGGACAACAACTCAAAAATGCTTTAATCAGTTCACATGAAACTTTGGTGAATTATTTATAGCTATTGATGTAATCTCCCTATTGATTTTCATAAATTTCAAATATGACATTGAGAAGAAATTGAACTTTATTTGTTTATAGTCTGGCAACAGATTTATTAAGTATTGCGCAACAGCACAGTGTATTGCACAACAGCAAGAAATCTTCAATTGAATATAAATTCAATTCATATAACCGATTTCAAGTTCTTTGACTACATTTATTCAGAAACTATAATATGTCAAATATTTAATTACAATCCAAATTCAGACCTGTATCAAGCTTGAATATTGTGTAAATTTTTGCCCCAACTGATCAGGGTTGGACCTCTGCGGGTGTATCCAGCTGCGCTCAGCGAATCAGTTTATTTCTTAATTAAGAACTCCTTTTTTCATTCATAAATTACTTTATAATTTTGCTTGGAGTTATAGTTTCTAAAAAAAGTATTGTCATTGAAAGAGTTGATATATGTTGCAATGTTCATTTATTCTACATAGTTCTATGGTACCAAATCAAAAGTTTATATAAAAGAAAGAGGTCAAAGGTTTCCCATCATAGTTTAGTTACATACATTTTTTTTGTACCTGAGGTCGTTGAATATAGATCATTATATAAATAAGGAGATGTGTTACGATTGCAAATGAAACAACTATCATCCATACTTACCAGTAACAAACCACATTTGCAGAGTTGAATAAAATACAGTTGATAACATTTACTTATTACTAAAAAAGAAAATGCCTAACTATTTTAAACAGAACATGTATTTGAATATCAATTATATGGTCATTTTTATAAATTTCCTGTTGCAAAACTTTGAATTTTTCGAAAAACTAAGGATTTTCTTATCCAAGGAATAGATTACCTTAGCCGTATTTGGCACAACTTTTTGGAATTTTGGGTCCTCAATGCTCTTCAACTTTGTACTTGTTTGGCTTTATAACTATTTTGATCTGAGCGTCACTGATGAGTCTTATGTAGACGAAACGCGCGTCTGGCGTATTAAATTATAATCCTGGTACCTTTGATAACTAATTTGACTATAAATATAGATAAAAAAGGTACAAACTGATCATAATGCACTAGTTCATAAACAAGTGAGAACAATCGCCTTCATATAGTGCTCAGAATATGACATTCATAAAGCTTGTTCAATATCATTAGAGAACTCTTAATCTTAAATACTGAAAGCCTCCTCTGATAAGTACACTGTACTATGCAAGATAATGATATAACTGGACTAAAAATACACACAACCTGTAATTAAATGCCTTTACAGCGCTTTCGCGCTTTGATTTATAATGGAACAATGCAATCAAAGTCTATTGTAATATATATATATAGATACATGTATATGAATATACAAAAGAAATATTTATCTTAACTTTTTTTGCATATAAACTAAAATTCTTATTGAACGAAAGTTTAATAAAATATATAAAAAGGAAATAATTAGGATATTTTTTAGATCTATTCAGTTATATACCTTGCTCAATCTCTGGAAACACTCCTTGTCATTGAAACAGGGTTTTGATCCCCAAGGATGCCACATTTTGCAATAAATTATATCTATATTTTTGAACATTTTCAAATTAAATGAATTGAATGAAAATTTCCCGACTATATGTAGATTCTGAAATTTCTCAACTGGCTTCAATAATTACAAACAAAACAAAACTTTATTTAACATTTTTGCTAAAACAATATATCTTTATTGTTTTAATTTTTCAAAAGAAATTCTTGTTTTTGTGTGTTTGCCAAGCTTACTTGTACAAAAAAATGTATGTGTTTAGTACCATCAACAATCACCCCTAATTATAAAAGATCCAACGACCTAATCAACATGAAAATTGGTATTCAATATAATCATCGGTCATGCATGACATATTCCATGAAAACGGCACATGCCAATAAAAACTTCAATAACTTCTTAAATATGGGTTTATAAAGACAAAAATTATAAGATGAAGAATTAAATTATCTATCTATACAAGAAAAACTGCTGGACGGTACCTCTTCTGACAATCCGAATGTGGCAAAGTAATGCTCTGCTGCATGAGACATCACCAATTGGTTGAGATTAGTAGAATATTATTTCTTCAATAATTTGAAAATAAGGATATCAGCTTTTTACTTGGAAATTGCCTTTCATCCAATATTATTTACATGTAGTATTTTTGGGTGAAAACCAGTGACACATGGTAAAATGCTTTAGAAAAAGTTTCAAATCTACAATATTTTATCTGTTCAAATCAAACTGAACTTAATAATCTATATATGTCATTCATGATCAACATTGCACCAGGTAACTACCATGTTATAGATTTATGCTCCTTTAAAGACTGTAATTTATTTGTTTTCTTTATTATTTTGTAGGTCCTAATTGTAAGAACAGACATGTGAGAAGAGTTATCTGTCAGTGTTATTTAAATGGTTTCTGTTTGGAGGGTCCAAAATGTAAATTTATGCAGTAAGTGAATTGTTCAGACAATTATTTATGTGTCGTATGACAGGTATTCAATTGTGTGAGGTAACAGGGTATGATTCATATTTTAAGTTTCTTCATCCTTAATCTAACCAAAGTTTATATTTGTAATGCTTGAGATATAAGGGTCCTGCCGACTAGTCATGCTAGTTAAGGTGACCTATAGTAATCACTCAGTCTGTCCATCCGTAAGCACTTCTATGTTGTATGATTAGTCAAGATTGCCTCACATGACTTTCAAAAATTTATGCACAGTGTTAATACCTATAAAAGGAAGGTTCCTTACCTAGCTTTTTAGTGAATTTTGGACAAAATTTGTGTTAAAAAATTGTTTTTCAGTTAAAAAATTATGCTTTTAAAGAATCATCGGTTTTTGCTAGGATTTGAATGAAAATTAAATTGATATGTAGGAAACTATAATTTGCTATTCCAAAATGATTTTCTGTGTCAAAAATTATAAGTTGGCCACCTTGGTCCAATCAACAACAATTAATAAAACAGCATGCTACCAATTGCTATTTGCTTGACATAAGTCTCTGGAATAACTTGCATCAATATTGAGGAATTGTACTTTGTCAGTGCTAACCTTTCAAGAAAAGTACTTTGTTAACTGCTTCAATGTGTCAAAATCCATCAAGTTTATTTATCTGTTGCCATAAATTTGAATGAAAGAAGATATTTAACAATATTTTTTAATCCTTCCTCTCAAGATCAGGATTATGCTTAAATTTCAATCTTTTTTAGCCCTAAATTTGAATTGCCAGTTTATGAGAGCAAAGAAATGACAAAGAAACCAATGATCACATGTCACTTTTGTGGAGAGACAGGTCACAAAGCCAATAGTTGTTTTAAAGTGCAACAGGGACATATCCCAACAGGAATTCAAGATGGAAATAAAATAGAAATTCAGGCACAGGATATGAAAACACAATTACAGGTTGGTATAAAAGGACAAATATCCTGAATTACCCATAGATTTAAATAGAAATACAATATCCAAACAGGATATTTGAAAATTCTAAAAGAACTTACGTGCAATGCAACAAAAATGTATGACATCAAAAATTGCACGGTTTGCATGTAAGGATTATTTGATTTTTTGATTAGATTATGGGAAATAGATAATATTGAAGAATATCATTCATTATCTTTACATTTTATAATTTCATTTCCATAACATCACCAAATCAGTGAAATTTTAACTTGGAAAAATATCATTTTTAAATACTTTTAATACTATTAACTGAAATTAAAAAAGTGGATTAATTTGAATGTTTTCAAAAATCAATATGAATAAAAATGTTAGTGTCAGTGAGATATCATTTAAAAGAAGGTTCAACATGAATCTTAAGTGGCATAACTATAGTAAATTAGATATGAAAAAAAATATCACAGTTATCAGATGTTATTCAATATATATCTATCCAGTATTTTTTTCAATTTCTATGTACCGGTATATTGTATATGATTGAAGTTCCATCATTGAACTATGAATCTCACATACATAAGTTAATTTTCAGGCATCACAACAGAATATGACTAGTTCAATAAAACCAATGCCAGATTACAGAAACCCAATGAGACCTTTAGATCAAGTTACATGTTTCAAGGTGAGTGCCAAAAATTTTATATATATAAAGAAGATATCAGGGGAAATGAAAAAAAATTGCATAATTCAACTTCATAAAAGTAATGTTTTAAATTGGAGTGCTGCAATGTGCATTTTTGCACTTGCAAGTTATTATCATTCTTCAGGTGATTACTATTACTTTGAAGCAGTAGTTACTTATCACCAGGGTTTCCCCTGGGTCAATAATTTTTTTCGCCACCTCTTTCGCCAAATCAATTTATTTTTCGCCACTTTATTAGTTTTTTCGCCATATATAACTTAAATATATATTTTTTGTTTAACATTTTCCTTCTTTCTACCCCCCACCCCAATATGTTGCCTATAATAATTCTCGTAAAATTATCTTTTAGTCTACATTATAATGAATTAACAATAAACTTTTACTTTTAAAAAGAAAAACTTTGCTTTTTTAACTTAAAAGGGGGAAAATTCATCATTGTTAATTGTATTTGGAACAACTTTTCTAAAAGAGGTGTCCAATTATTTTAATAATAAAGATGATATAAGTCCAGGAATATAACAAAATTCTTGGACATGTTTTGAACATATAATACCAGATAGATGGATAGTTCTTTGGGAAAAGTTTCTTCAAATAATATAAATATGTTGCCTTTTGTACTAAGAAGTGGTTTTTACAACAAAATTTTTTTTTATCACTTGAAATTGATCCCTCATTAAAGGGATAGTCATTACATTGAAGGGTTACCCCTTATTAGAGGGGTTGTTCCAAAAGTGTTGAATATATTTCTTCATAACGACAGTTTTCTTTTCTGGACCATCGTAAATGAAAAAGTTGAGACGTAAAATTATATGCTTGAAACTCGTGCGTCGCCAAAATGAATTTAAAGTACCCTTTCAAATCAATTATCTATTTCAAAGTCAAAGGATAAAGTTTTAAGTCGGAGATTTTTCTTGCTTTTAAACATTTTTCGTCATAACAACAGTTTTCCTATCCGGCCCATCGTTAAAAGAAGGAGAGGAGACATCAAAAGTTGGCTTCAAACACGTGTGTCACAAAGTGGTTATTACCTTTATGTGACATGTTACGGACGCCATTTTACCATATAATTTTGTCAAACAATACAATCAACACCTTTATTAATTAGTCCTTTGTTGCCTACAGCTATAAAATGCAATCAGCTGATTTTTGATTTTCTGTCAAAATCTTAACGACTTCAAGGTGAATTCCGAGTATTGTCTGATCAGGTAAAGTCAGAGAAACCCGAAAAAAAATAAATAAACAAGATGGATGAAATTAAATCGTTATTCATATTTCTTTCGCCAAATTCTTTTGCAAATGATGAATTTTAATCGCCACAATTATTATTTTTTCGCAAAACATGATGCTTTGCATGGCATTTGTTTTGTTTTTTTATTTTAGAAGTTATGCAAGTTATCTCTCTTTACCCAATATGTTGTGATAAGCAGTCGAAAATGGCGACTGCCAGCGGAAACCCTGCTTATCACAACATATTGGGTAAAGAGAGATAACTTGCATAACTTCTAAAATAAAAAAACAAAACAAATGCCATGCTGCAAAGCATCATGTTTAAGAAATATAAATTATTATTACATTGGTAGCATTGAATTACATTGATTTCCCAGTCACATAAAAACCGATAATTTTAAATGTGAAATAAACGTGGTTATTTCACTCTCTAACGTCATACAACAATAGGCGTTGTCAAGATGTCGATAACATCGGATCAAAACAAATTGTGAATGCGTAGAAAAAAGATATAGTTCCTTACATTTTCTACATTAATTTCATTAAAAAAAGCCATTTGCCAATGTAATAAAAAGAATAACTAATCAAAGAATTCAAATATCGAAAAATATTCAACTCGTGACCGAACAACACTGATAATTAACTCATGCGCTATGCGCATTCGTGAATTAATGTGTTGTTCGGTCACTCGTTGAATATTTTTCTCTATTTGAATTCTTCGATTAGTTATTCTATAAACATTTAATTTATTGTTGGAACAAAACACAAAATATTATCAATGTTAAATATTTTAATAAAGTATAAAATTGAATGATCGATGGCTGCTTAACATCCAGCAGCAAATATTACATACATATTCAGGAAGATAACATGTTAATGCTATTATTAGTTACACAGTGTGCAAGTGACCTAATACGATATATATGGGGTAAGTAAGTTCCATATGAGGTGAGACAAAACCTAATACAATATATATTGGGTCAGTAAATTCCATATGAGGTGAATATGATATATATGCCTAATATGGGGTCAGTAAATTCTATATGAGGTGAGAGCAAACCTAATATGATATATATGGGGTCAGTAAATTCCATATGGACTGAGAGCAAACCTAATAGGATATATATAGGGTCAGTAAATTCCATATGAGGTGAGAGCAAACCTAATACGATATATATGGGGTCAGTAAATTCCATATGGACTGAGAGCAAACCTAATACAATATATGGGGTCAGTAAATTCCATATATATTGTTTTAGGTCACTAGCACACTGTGTAACGAATTTATCTTACTGACTATCTTAACATGTAGCATTTAGACTAGTGGCCTATCAAAGTGATCTAGTCTTCAATATAAAGAACCTACTTCCATTGGTCTATATAAAAGCAAATGCCAACAATAACAACTTGTTAGCTTTTAATGTGTTTTCTGCATTTTTTCAATCGTTCATCATCAATGTCTTGGTCTGTTGTCCGGGTGAAACGTTTCAGATTTTTTCCTCAACGCCGTGTTGTTTTTATAAAAGGACGTAACACCACTACTAACCGTGTATTAAAATAAACCAGTTTACTAACCCCATATTAAATATACAGGGTCTCCATTCGGTCGCTTTTAACCAATGATATTCCTAGAAATGAATAGGTGGTAAGATAAATGAATTTACCTTACTTTGTACTTAACTGAATGGCTGAGTTGGATTCTTAATGTGCTAGCTCACAATGTAACAGGAAGATATGTCACATACTTGGACAAATTATTCTGACTCCGAGCCAAGCAGTCTTTGCTTCAACACCAAAATAATTTGTGTAAGAATGACAGAAGCAGAAAATGCAAATTTAAAAGTCTGGTTTTGTCCCAGTTGAGGATCAAACCCACATCCTCCTGTACTTGAGGCCAGCACACTACCATGAGACCACTGAGGCAGTAATGATGCTCAGTCTTTAGTTTTCTATGTAATACTGATTCTGTGGACTACTGTTAGTAAATGTTCACATATTTTATAATTAAAGATTTTACATATTATTAGTCATACTACTTATACATTTTGTTTTCAATATCATTGTTTATATTTCAGTGTGGAGAAAAAGGACATTATGCCAACAAGTGTAATAAAAGCCATCTTGCATTCCTTAGTTCGGGAGGACATTGATAATGTCACTTTATTGTTAATTGTTATAATGGACTACGTTACAGAGATATAAAATAAAAGTACATGCTAGATATACTTTTCTTGAATAGAATATTTAAGATGGTACTGGAAAAATTAGTGTCGAAATGAGATATTTTCCTAATGACATGTGGTACTGAACATGCAATGTAAAAAAACTTTGATGTGCATCTGTTATCAGATATTTAAGCATATGTTCTCATTGTTTAGATGAAATAAAATTTGTAATTTTGAAATAGAGGAGCCTCTTTTTATTTCACTGTTTTGGGGGTATTTTTCTTCAACTTCTTTGCAATGTAAATGGACAAAATATATGATGACAAAATGTCCTATCGCTATAAAAAAAAAAGTGAAAAAGAGGAAGGGGGTGGTATTTCAATGTTATGGAAACAATTTTTAGTACTTTTGAATGTGAATTCAAATGTTTGGATATCTTAACTGTTCTTTATGTTTAGAGTCACAAGTTTTAATTTCCAAAATTCCCAATCATCTAAAGAATGTAAATTGCAGAATAAGTTCATGATTGAATTATTTGAATACAAATAATTCTTTAGGATAGCAAAGCAAATTATTTTGATTTTGATAGTATGAATTAGCAGCAAATAACATTAGTTAAATTGCAGATAGGCAGGTTATTTAATCTCTACATCTTTCCAGATCAGAGAAAGGGTATTTTATGGATACAATACCAAGGTACTTCATATCCATGCTAGGTTTTCATTGATGACCATAAATACTATTGGGGAAAGTTCAATTTATTTTTATTGGCTTTAAATCATTAAGTGCTGTCATTTTGATGCAGGCAAAAGTTTTAATTTTCATAATTATTACATATAAATAAGTTTAATGTTATTATAACAAAATAAAAGAGTATAAGGCTATAAGCATAATTTATTTATAAGATATACTCGATTAATAACTTGTATGGATTAATGATAGAGGTACATCTAGCTGTTATTTAAAATGCATAGAGTTAAATAATGTCAATATTTAAAAAAAAAATTACAATGAATATAATGAACAATAAACACCCGTAACTTTTTAAAAACTTAAGGCAATCTAACAATAAATAAAAAACAACAGTAAAAAATGAATCTTGAGGCATCTTTACATCTGTAAAATGGAAAATACGGGCAAGTTCCAGCAAATGTGTGTTTTCACAAATTTTATTAGATTTTGCATATAACCTTGATATGTTGTACATTAAATTAAAAAAAAAATTGTTTGTGTCTGTTATTTTCTGGAAATTATTGTAATTTGTAAAAAATAAATGCACATTTGTATAGAATGTAATAAAACTGGTGGAAAACATTCCTAGATTGTCTTAACATTACCAGTTCTTCAAAATTTAACAATTCCTCAATTTTTTTATGATTTTTTCTTAAACATATCACATTTAATAATCACATCTAACAATCCACTTACTTTGAGTTAAAATATTAGTGATAGAATAAATAAATTTAGTTCATGGAAACTCAAAAAAGCAATATCATCAAATCAAGGGTTACCAAAAACAAGACAAAATAAACTAAGACAATTTTAATAAAAACATTTGTATCAAGATTATCAAAATAAAAGGGTAAAATTATATTGTCAAACTAAAGAGCCATGACAGTCTTTTCCATGACAATCTGGGAATGGGAATACATCTGGTATAATTTGTGCTTCTGTTGTATACTCCTGCACAGAACCATCTACCCCATCAAAAGTTACCTACAAAAAATAATGCATTTATTCATACATTCCTTGATAATTACTTAAGTGATTTAAGTACTAGAAAGATTCTTTTTTATTAATAGGTAAGGGGTTGACAAAAGAACGATGGTCCTGGAATCCTCACAAAGTGATTCCTGATCAAAATCAAACATTAAGTATGCAGCTTTATTTGAGTTAAACAATTTCTGGTTGTACAAATATACAATATTTTGTATAGAGTTATGTAAATAGAAAGAACAAACTAGATAATTATACTATACATTCCTTTTAGAAAATTCAAATTTTCTGAGTTATCTCCCCTTATAAAGCAAATTGCATTTTTTTTTTAAATCAATCAGATATATTTCTGAGTTTGAAAAAATGTTCTTATCAGAAGATAAAATCAAAAACATTTCTTTGCTAAAATGAAAAATATCACAAAATAATTCCAATCCTGCCTATTAAGTTGTTAAATCTGTACCAATCATTTTACATCATGTGGCCAATCGTGATACGAGATAAGAAAATTCCTGTGCAGCCTCTGTCTCATACAGTTTGAAAATCAGTGCTGAACAATTGTTTTAGTAAAGTCCCTTTGAAATGATAATTCAAGGGAAAATTGCATGGTAAGTTATCTTTTAACAGCCTACATATCTTGTCAGGTATTCACAAAATTTATATCAAAGGATTATTCCAGCAAGGTCTCAATATTCAGCACTGATCATCTATTTTTTTCTGGAGTAATGTACCTTGGAAGTGTCAAATATATGACAATTGCATTATAAGCAATCTCATGCCTACATTTCTTGAAGGAATTTAATGAAAAAGTTTTAAAAACAAAACAAACTATCTCAATTGTATGTTTGTAGAAGTATCTGATGCAGTTTTTGCCTTAGTTGATCAAATCATGAGCTATGTTTTGAAGATGCCCTGCTTTTTCAGTCATTATTTTGTACCAATCATGTCAATTAAACAGTGCATTTATGAATTAACATCGTTTGTAATATGTTTATACATACCTGAATGAAAAAGGCCAGCCATCTCCCATCTAGTGGATTATCATACTCTGCGACAAAGGTGTTGTTTCCCTGCAAATTAAATAAAACGGTTTTTCTCTGTGTATTACACAGTAACCTGGTTCTTGTTATACTTCAAGAAAAAACTTTCATTGTTAAAACCAACATTGACTTCAATGTTGGCATTCCCGCTAGACAAATTGGTTTTATACTCACATGAACTAGAATTACAGAAACGAGAAAAACATTTAGAATCAAAACTTGTCAGTTTATTTTTAAATATTTGCCCGCCCTAAAAAAAAGAAATAAAATTAATTATCTGTGCCTAATCAAAAAAAAAATAATGCTTTAATCGTAAGATACTTACATGGTCTTTAATCTTGTCTGAAAACCAGAGAACAGGGTGAGGATACATATGTGTAGAATTGCCTGGTTCACCAACAAACAATCGAAAGTCACGTCTGAAAATATTTAAAATAAAATACACTAACTAATTATTAATTCACAGCCTTTTCTTTTATTCTGCCATGTATTTGACACAAGAGTGCACACTCTGAAATGTCAAGGTCAGATGAACCATGCCAGACGGACTTGTGCACCTTACAATCATTCCATATACCAATCATAGTTGACCTAGCTATTGCTTATAGCATCTACCTAACGAACTTGATCACGAAACTTAACCTTGATCATCGATCCATGAAAAGAGGTAAAGATCATTCAAACCCTGTCTGAAAAACATACATGCCTTGCAAGGATCCCATAATATATCAAATATGATTAACTTATTCATAATACCGGTAAGTGAGAAATTCACGTAAATATATACAGACCTTAAAGCAGTCGATGAGCAATGAAAATGAGGTCAAGGACAATGGACCTGACATACAAGCATCCAGGTCAGTAACAATACAATACTTCGTAAGATCTCAACATCATGCCTGCGAAAATCAGTGTAGGTAGTTTAAGCTCAGTACACCAATATAAGTTTATATCTGGGACTATAACACGAAACATTAGTCCTAGCTAATATATACAATAGAAATTTCAATGTTTACTTTTCAATTCCGTAAACTGAACTTCAGCATAATCAACACCAAAATTGTATAGACTACCACCAAACAGTCCTGATAAGATAGCTCTTTACTGATTGACAAATACTAGCCTAGTGTAACGTTAAGCACATCGCCTCCTTTACAAGATGAAGGAGTTAATGTACAAAACTATGATGTACTTAAGCTTTTCATAGAAATCGCCTCAGACAAAAATATTTACTGTTATAATATACCTTTTGGTGTCTGTTGTAACTGCAAATTTGGCCTTAACTGTCCTCGGTTTCATATTGGTAAAAAGCGTTATTCGCCCACCATTTGAGGTCTGCAAAACGAAAAGAAAAATTTCAAAGGCGTTCCTGATACGTTCATTTAAAGTACCGTAATTATTTTAGCTCAATAGTGTTAGTGTCACAACACACTATCTAATATGTAACGGTCATAATACATTTACATTGGAATTGTATGTGTTATCCATCTAATGTGATAGGTTGATTATGACATAATTTGTCTTAATGTGTTGAACGGATGATGTTGGAAGGTATAAAAGAAATGACATGATTTTCGTATCTACAATAGAGTTTCTGAAATAATCTTCATACACTCTTGGTCAAACGTTTGGAAACCCAAAATTAAAAAAAAAACCAAGAACATTTCGTAACATGAAGTCCAAGTTGACATATTTAAAACAGCACGAGACTTATATATTTCAATAGGTCAACTTGTTTGAAGGAGTTACTATCGACGATTTAGCAGAACAGACATAATGTTGCTGTTAAAAATAACAGCAAGAAATATAGAAACTGGAGATTTTTTATATGTTTTTTAAGAAACATTTAAATTTTTTTTATTTATTTTTTTTTGGTGAAAGTCAAATTTTAACAATAAATGTTTATATATTTTCAAACAAGGGACCCCCATTGGAAATAAGCTATACTATGTAAGCTTTTATGGGATATCCCAGGCTTTTTTCTAAGCACTGTTTTTAAAATATATTATGATACTATTTTAGAAATATATATATATATATATATTATTGTTTTGTCTTGTGAATTTTTGTATATGTGATTGAATTTGCCTGAATAAAACTATACTATACTATAACGTTACAACACAATATCTATCTTTTGACAAGAATCCAAGATTAGTTTTACAAATGGCGATCATTGCCACATCAGGGTATACAAATAGGGATTTTTGTACATTTCATAAGTGACTTACAATTTCTCGTTTCCAATACATCTTCGGTAGATCTATGTTCTGGAAAAAAAATCGTTGAAACATAAAAGTATATTTAATTCTGTTATAGTCTGTTGACCATGTCTGAAATAATTTTATAGAAAATGACACCATATAATTCTCAAACCGTTGAAACTTTAGGTACATGACACATTAAAAACTAAACGACGGGTTATTGACTTTGAAAAAATCACAGTTTGTATACCATGGCATCAATCAACCGAATTGACTTTTAAATTCAGATGTATGTCTGATCATGCACGTGAAAGGAAAATATAAAACTACTCGATTCAAGAATATAAATAGAAAGCCAAATATACTCACTGTTAAGATAGACAAATAGAAGGCACGTAAAGAGAGCATAGTATCGGTGATGTGTATACTCACTGTTAAGATAGACAAATAGAAGGCACGTAAAGAGAGCATAGTATCGATGATGTGTATACTCACTGTTAAGATAGACAAATAGAAGGCATGTAAAGAGAGCATAGTATCGGTGATGTGTATACTCACTGTTTAGATAGACAAATAGAAGGCACGTAAAGAGAGAATAGTATCGGTGATGTGTATACTTACTGTTAAGATAGACAAATAGAAGGCACGTAAAGAGAGCATAGTATCGGTGATGTGTACGTAAAGAGAGAAAAGTATCGGTGATGTGTATACTCACTGTTAAGATAGACAAATAGAAGGCACATAAAGAGAGCATAGTATCGGTGATGTGTATACTCACTGTTAAGATAGACAAATAGAAGGCACGTAAAGAGAGCATAGTATCGGTGATGTGTATACTCACTGTTAAGATAGACAAATAGAAGGCACGTAAAGAGAGCATAGTATCAGTGATGTGTATACTCACTGTTAAGATAGACAAATAGAAGACACGTAAAGAGAGCATAGTATCGGTGATGTTTATACTCGTTGTTAAGATAGACAAATAGGAGGCACGTAAAGAGAGCATAGTATCGGTGATGTGTATACTCACTGTTATGATAGACAAATAGAAGGCACGTAAAGAGAGCATAGTAGCGGTGATGTGTATACTCACTGTTAAGATAGACAAATAGAAGGCACGTAAAGAGAGCATAGTATCGGTGATGTGTATACTCACTGTTAAGATAGACAAATAGAAGGCACGTAAAGAGAGCATAGTATCGGTGATGTGTATACTCACTGTTAAGATAGACAAATAGAAGGCACGTAAAGAGAGAAAAGTATCAGTGATGTGTATACTCACTGTTAAGATAGACAAATAGAAGGCACGTAAAGAGAGCATGGTATCGGTGATGTGTATACTCACTATTAAGATAGACAAATAGAAGGCACGTAAAGAGAGCATAGTATCGGTGATGTGTATACTCACTGTTAAGATAGACAAATAGAATGCACGTAAAGAGAGCATAGTATCGGTGATGTGTATACTCACTGTTAAGATAGACAAATAGAAGGCACGTAAAGAGAGCATAGTATCGGTGATGTGTATACTCACTGTTATGATAGACAAATAGAAGGCACGTAAAGAGAGCATAGTAGCGGTGATGTGTATACTCACTGTTAAGATAGACAAATAGAAGGCACGTAAAGAGAGCATAGTATCGGTGATGTGTATACTCACTGTTAAGATAGACAAATAGAAAGCACGTAAAGAGAGCATAGTATCGGTGATGTGTATACTCATTGTTAAGATAGACAAATAGAAGGCACGTAAAGAGAGAAAAGTATCGGTGATGTGTATACTCACTGTTAAGATAGACAAATAGAAGGCACGTAAAGAGAGCATGGTATCGGTGATGTGTATACTCACTATTAAGATAGACAAATAGAAGGCACGTAAAGAGAGCATGGTATCAGTGATGTGTATACTCACTGTTAAGATAGACAAATAGAATGCACGTAAAGAGAGCATAGTATCGGTGATGTGTATACTCACTGTTAAGATAGACAAATAGAAGGCACGTAAGGAGAGCATAGTATCGGTGATGTGTATACTCACTGTTAAGATAGACAAATAGAAGGCACGTAAAGAGAGCATGGAATCGGTGATGTGTATACTCACTGTTAAGATAGACAAATAGAAGGCACGTAAAGAGAGCATAGTATCGGTGATGTGTATACTCACTATTAAGATAGACAAATAGAAGGCACGTAAAGAGAGCATAGTATCGGTGATGTGTATACTCACTATTAAGATAGACAAATAGAAGGCACGTAAAGAGAGAATAGTATCGGTGATGTGTATACTCACTGTTAAGATAGACAAATAGAAGGCACGTAAAGAGAGCATAGTATCGGTGATGTGTATACTCACTGTTAAGATAGACAAATAGAAGGCACGTAAGGAGAGCATAGTATCGGTGATGTGTATACTCACTGTTAAGATAGACAAATAGAAGGCACGTAAAGAGAGCATGGAATCGGTGATGTGTATACTCACTGTTAAGATAGACAAATAGAAGGCACGTAAAGAGAGCATAGTATCGGTGATGTGTATACTCACTATTAAGATAGACAAATAGAAGGCACGTAAAGAGAGCATAGTATCGGTGATGTGTATACTCACTATTAAGATAGACAAATAGAAGGCACGTAAAGAGAGCATAGTATCGGTGATGTGTATACTCACTGTTAAGATAGACAAATAGAAAGCACGTAAAGAGAGCATAGTATCGGTGATGTGTATACTCACTGTTAAGATAGACAAATAGAAGGCCCGTAAAGAGAGCATAGTATCGGTGATGTGTACGTAAATAGAGAATAGTATCGGTGATGTGTATACTCACTGTTAAGATAGACAAATAGAAGGCACCTTAAAGAGAGCATAGTATCGGTGATGTGTATACTCATTGTTAAAATAGACAAATAGAAGGCACGTAAAGAGAGCATAGTATCGGTGATGTGTATACTCACTGTTAAGATAGACAAATAGAAGGCACGTAAAGAGAGCATGGTATCGGTGATGTGTATACTCACTGTTAAGATAGACAAATAGAAGGCACGTAAAGATAGCATAGTATCGGTGATGTGTATACTCACTGTTAAGATAGACAAATAGAAGGCACGTAAAGAGAGCATAGTATCAGTGATGTGTATACTCACTGTTAAGATAGACAAATAGAAGGCACGTAAAGAGAGAATAGTATCGGTGATGTGTATACTCACTGTTAAGATAGACAAATAGAAGGCACGTAAAGAGAGCATAGTATCGGTGATGTGGCCTATAAGTGTATGTTCTGCATCTGGAACAATTCTGAAATAGAAAACTTCACTTAACACTCAATACCTTTAAAAGAGTCCCAATCAAGTAACCGGATTCAACCATGGATAACTCGACGGATGACAGAAGTATATATAGGACTAAAACTGCCAACTCGTTAGGATTTCAAACGCAGTTTTTGTTACTCTATATGTATCTGTGTATTGTCATCGGATTGTTTTTTTTATGCCTTTTAACAGATCAGTCTTCAATGGTCTGTATATGTTATGATTGATTTCTTCCTGAATGTAACATCAATGCTACCGGTCTGATAAATCTAACTGTTATTTATGACATGCTTCAATAAAAGACTGAGAATTGCTACAACAATATTCATTCTACGACATGAAAGGCATTTACCTGAGGTATTTAGGTCCGGCAAGCTGATTGTAATAATAATGTGAATCATCAGTCAAGAAGAATTCGTCCCCAGAAGACGTAATTATCATCTTAGGAACCGTGTCATATCTATCATTATATGCTGCAACAAAAGCATGCTTATTTCATAAGAAAGAAAAATCTGTATTCAAATATTCATGACTTCTTTAAATTTTTTATGATACGACTAATTTCATATACAAGTAAAGAAGAAAAAGCCTGCAATATAATATTCATCTTAAAGAATATGTGTGATAAAGATAACTATGCTTTTGCTTTTAACATTTTCAGTTGGTTCAGTATCAAGGCAATAACTCAGCGTAACAGTGTTGACAAGATTTTAAAGCTTGCACTTAAACAAATATTGCAGATTTATTTTTACGATTGATACAAAAATTAGGCAATATAACACAAACGTATTTGTAAATAAAGCATACCTAATGGGTCGATATAAGAAGCCATTTTCTGCGTAAACGGGTTATCTAAATACCATGTAAAATTTTCTTTATAGTACTCTTTGAATTCAAAAGTCCAGCCACCAAGTGATCGATAGTGATGATGTAAGTTCTGCAAATACATGTATGCGTATAATTTACTTTTTATCTATTTAGTACTTCGTGTATACAAGTGTTACACCATCTCAAAGAAGACCTGTCAATATCTATAATTTAGACCTCGTGCGATTAAAAGCTCATTGTTTAGTTCAAATATCTTTTAGTTTGTGTCACATATACATACGCCATTAGTATAGACAGTTCAAAAAGTTTAATTAATGGACAAGTGAAATATCAAAATAGTTTATCCATGTCCATATATACCTGAACAAAATTGAGCAAATCCATCACTATTGGAGCTATTCCTATAACTCTCTTGTCTACAGCACCAGTCAACCAAGTTATCCAACCACGCTTAAAAGAAAAATCATCAGATTGTATAAATCATTTGGTTTGCTATAAATGGCACCTGGTATCTATAAAGGTTAAACGAAGTTTATATTAGTATGTAAATGCAGACTACTAAGATTTAGTGAAATTTACATAGTCTATACACCTGCATTTTTATTAGTTTTTAGATGGTTTTTTCTTGTTTTATTTTTGTTTCATTTTATATTTATGGGGTGATTTTAGAAGACACAAATTCAAACTGTAAGGTTATTTTGCTGAAAACTATTGGTTAGTTGACAAGAAACATACCGAATTTGAAACTAACCTTTGAAGCTCCTGTGACGACGAACTTGTCTATATTGGCACCAGTTTTCGTCTTTACAACATTTGCAATCGTGTCTAAGCCTCGAACAGCCGCCTGAAACAGTTTAACCAAACAATTAGATATAATAAAACGATCAAAGAGCAAATGTTTTTTTTAAATAGAAATCCTACAAAAAGAACCATTTATTAATACATACACTGATTAATAATGAACAATATTTTAAAATATATTTGTCTTAAATGCAAACGATATCACATTATTATAAAAATGTATGTTAATTATCAGCCTCCTGACCAAATCTAATACTTCGTCTACTGTCGAGCAGTGAGCCAGGATCCAGGCTAGTTAATTATTTAAACTGTTCTGTTATTTATAAGAAAATGATTTGTGTGTATCAAGGAAAACTATCAAACAACAACCTTTGTCATTGGGAATTCCAGAATCATTTCCGGGTCTGATCCATTGTTCTCGACAAATTTTCTCCATGTCCATGCAATAATAGCGTCTTCTGTTCGATGCCTCTTTGTTGGATCCTCCTATCGAATGGAAAAATAAAGTTTATTTACATATCTCTATATCTATATGACGTACCAGCTACCAATGTCCACAGATTAAATTTTACACTATAGAACTTTCACTAAGGTTTATAAAGTATAACAGCTTTATTTGTGAATCTTTGAACATATAACCCAAACATATATATGTTTAAATGTTGAAAAGTGCATGTTTCAAAATTTTCAAAATGACTTTTGTTTATTATTTATATAAAATGTATTAAAATGTATAAGAAAGACGTTGTATTTCAAAACCAAATTACATCGTAATTAAAAGTTATGTATTATCTTTTAGATATGACAATCCTTTATTTTATTATTGGTTTCCTTTTAAAAATAAAATATTTGCAATTATGCATAAAAAAAGTTTGATAACCACTTATGATTGCACAATAAGTACTTTATTTTAAATCAATAGTTACGCTATAAACTTAAATAATAAAATCCAAAATATATAGTACCTTTGAGAGCGTGAAACTTGAGGTGCCTTAAGAGGACAGTAGCAATCGTCTCAAATACACCTTTCCTGAGAGAGTTACAGTCTCAGTTTATGACTCAAATATATATAGACCTTTCCTGAGAGAGTTACAGTCTCAGTTTATCGTCTCAAATAGACGTTTCCTGAGAGAGCTACAGTCGCAGTTTAAGTATAATTACACAATTAATAAAGTTATTTGTGGAAATTCATAGGCAAATTATATTATTTTAACCATGCATGTATACCATTGGATGAATGGTACCATCGAGGACTGAATCATCAGAAGCGGTGTGGACCCAGTGGCAGAAGACACAGTTGTCATTCCGATTTTCGTGTACATGGCACGTATTTCAGGTAAACCATTCATCAAGTACGCTCAACACCAAAAGATTAAATTTCTTAGAGAAAAAAAAAATCCAAAGGGCCTAAAATCACGTGCCTAAAATATAAAACTAAGCGCTGAGCTGAATAAGTTGGGTTTCATGATAATAATGTAAAATGTCTTTAAAATATTGTAAGACTATCGTTTAGACCCTTTTACAAATACAATTTGAACGAAAAGTGCATGTTTCAAAATTTTCAAAATGACTTTTGTTTATTATTTATATAAAATGTATTAAAATGTATAAGAAAGACGTTGTATTTCAAAACCAAATTACATCGTAATTAAAAGTTATGTATTATCTTTTAGATATGACAATCCTTTATTTTATTATTGGTTTCCTTTTAAAAATAAAATATTTGCAATTATGCATAAAAAAAGTTTGATAACCACTTATGATTGCACAATAAGTACTTTATTTTAAATCAATAGTTACGCTATAAACTTAAATAATAAAATCCAAAATATATAGTACCTTTGAGAGCGTGAAACTTGAGGTGCCTTAAGAGGACAGTAGCAATCGTCTCAAATACACCTTTCCTGAGAGAGTTACAGTCTCAGTTTATGACTCAAATATATATAGACCTTTCCTGAGAGAGTTACAGTCTCAGTTTATCGTCTCAAATAGACGTTTCCTGAGAGAGCTACAGTCGCAGTTTAAGTATAATTACACAATTAATAAAGTTATTTGTGGAAATTCATAGGCAAATTATATTATTTTAACCATGCATGTATACCATTGGATGAATGGTACCATCGAGGACTGAATCATCAGAAGCGGTGTGGACCCAGTGGCAGAAGACACAGTTGTCATTCCGATTTTCGTGTACATGGCACGTATTTCAGGTAAACCATTCATCAAGTACGCTCAACACCAAAAGATTAAATTTCTTAGAGAAAAAAAAAATCCAAAGGGCCTAAAATCACGTGCCTAAAATATAAAACTAAGCGCTGAGCTGAATAAGTTGGGTTTCATGATAATAATGTAAAATGTCTTTAAAATATTGTAAGACTATCGTTTAGACCCTTTTACAAATACAATTTGAACGAAAAAGGACCTGCCTGGGTGTACGTCAATGATACAGTAATTTAACGATACACGCCAAAAATTCTGTATCTGAGTGTGTAATCATCTCAGATGTGTTTTCTGTTAATCCGAATAATCCAGTCATTATATTCCGCCCATTACCATCACTCGATACATCGAGAAATGGTAGTGGCCAGAGGGTTCTGAATTATTCCGAGTTGGTTCTCTGTGATCAGGGCCGTAAATTACATAGAGGCATGTAGGCAGGTGCCTCCTATTGCGGACTGACAAAAAAAAAAGAAAAAATGAAGAAAAAAATACTGAAAAGAAAAAAATGTTAAAATCAAGCATTATTTTAATAGCACTGGTTGTTACTTTTACGTCTATTAATGAGATTAGGTCAAAATGTACAATAGAGCAAGCAATCAAACACACGCACTTCTACCCAAATATAAAACAAATACTTTTGCTTCTGTTAGCCTTGCCAGTTGGGTCCTGCAGTTGTGAGAGATCGTTTTCTGCGCAACGGCGCCTTAAATAAAATTGAGAATAAAAATCATAGTGGGGAATATGTCAAAGAGACAACAACCCGACCAAAGAGCAGACAACAGCCGAAGGCCACCAATGGGTCTTCAACGCAGCGAGAAAATCCCGCACCCGGAGGTGGTCCTCAGCCGGCCACTAAATAAAATTGTGTACTAGTTCAGTGAAAATGGACGTCACACTAAACTCCAAAACATATAAATGAACTCAAATTAAAAAACATACAAGACGAACATGGAACAAGTCAACAATGACGGAAAGCAGATTACGAGGTCTGGCTATGCTACACATAGAAGTGACAATGTTGGCAATATTGAATGCATAGAAATGCTAAAGAGATTGGATTCGTCCGGGCACAGAAAAATCCCCTTAGCAATTGACAAAGCCTTACCGAATAAAATTGTCAGTGTAAACAAAATCTGTTACGTTATAATAATTTGAATTTGATAATTAAAAGTTATGAGTTATTAAGTATGCATTTTCATTTTAAGTTCGCAAATTGTGTCTCTGAAACGAAGTAAAAATAGCTTGTGAAGAGTCATAAAGCAGGATGAAGCGTAACAAATCTAACATTACCGGCACACGTAATCTAACTCTGGTTTATAACTATTTTCAATATATTCCAGGCGCTTATTTATTGAAATATAACACAAATTTAACAAGTGAATTCTGAGGAGGTACATTGCATACAGGGAAAAGGCCCGAAAAAATATCATTTTCTGCTTAAAATGGGTTAAAAAGAAACTCAACTGCCTCCCCTTACAAGACAGGCAATTTACGGCCCTGGTGATTTACACAAATTCAAAGGAAGTTGGCAATACCTCTTTTTCCATATTTTGAATAGGACCGATAGATATTTCTTAATTGGATATAATATTTTTTCATAATGCAGTAATGTGAAAATCTCACCAAGAAAACCTCTGTGTGTTTTTTTTTATTGTTATAAATAAGTACATTTCGTCAGTGTTTGTCTTTGTGTTCATGCAAGTTTTAAAAAAAGATTTAAAGATGTTAACAGAATGTCAGCACGTCATTTTGTCTATATGGATAAAAATTACAATGAAAAGATATCTATCATTGTACACTAGGAAGAAAAATAAATCTTGCATGTACCTTGAACACAATAGGCTGGTTAGGTATCATTTTTAAGTCAGCACAAACACTGCCGGTTGATACTGCTAAAGTAGTAGTTATAGCTACAAATGCCTCATCTACTGGTGACAATCTTTAATATATAAATTATGATCAACTAACAATTTTTAATATATATAAATTATGATCAATTAATAAATGAATAAAAGGATATATCGGATAAATGTCAATTAAACAGTAACCACACGGGAAAAAAAGACTTCTAGAGGGCAACATATAGTCTTCAACAATAAAGTCAGTCAGGTGTCCTATATTCTTCAAAATCAACAAAAGTTGTGAATAAATTAACAGAAACAAAGATCTGACGTAAGATTGTCATCAAAACGAAATACCATAACATAAGGCGAATTCACCTGTTACATTAAAAGAATTGCAGACATGCACATTCAATATGTTGTAGAGTTCATTTTTGTTAAAAATAGAAAACTGTATTTTAAAAGAAGTTGTAGAGTGTATCTGTAACTATCGTAGAATAGACTTGCCTTGTACTATCATTTCAAATGTATAATCAGCATATTATTTTGCTTACTTGGGTACATTGTGTCCGCCGTCTATCAGCATTAAAGCGGTATCTTTGTGCACAATTTTGTCAGGAATAGTGATTTCTAAATAGTGCCACCATACTGGATGGTTTGAAATAGCTTCTATTAATAAAAAAAAAATGAATAGAACAGCTGAATTGTTCAAGGCACTCTGATGTATATGTCAAGTGTTATGATAAAATAAAGACAATTATTATATCTATTTGGTATTTTGTAATTATTTTGTCCTAGTCTTATTACAATAAGTTATAAAAACTGACAAATAAATAAATGAAACGATAAACGAGTGTCATATTGTTAAAGGTATTTAACAAATTTAACAGAAAAAAAGTTTTATTGAAACACTTATAAAAACTAAAATTGCACATTTTTTTGGGTCTTTTAACCCATGAAATTTTAAGTGTATTAGATGAGAAAATAAGAATTTATCTGAACTTACAGTCTTCTAAAATTAGTCTAAACTGTTTTATTTTATTTTTTTTTAATTTTTATGTGATTATCATACCAGATTTCCATTTCAATGAGGTCATATTGTACACGTATAAAGTATAGCCTGGTCCTTTCTTCATACTAACTTCTGAGAAACTGTAATGAGAGTCTGGAGTATGTACATAGTCGTCTAATGGGGATGCCACAGCAAACGATATTGCTGTTATCCATATCACAAATGATTGCTCCATGCTTATGGTGATGATTGTGGCGTTCCGTTTGCTTCAAACAATAATTGCTGCTAGCGCTGTATCATAATTTATGTACTCTATTCAAGTATATAACAGCGGATGTTCCGTTTCCTTTCTCCAATAATGACCAACACAATAAATAGATTGAACCAATAATAACACAGGAATTTTCTTCCTGGTTTGAATTGTTGTGAAATGGGTCACATGTTTTAAGTTAAATTTAATAGGTATGGCAAACGTATAATTTCAAGTCTGCATGTTCTTAATTTTGTTTTTGTCTATAAAAAATGATTCAAAATTTCTGAATTGATAACAACTACACTTCGGATCGCCTTCTTTCAACATACACTTACAAAATATGATAAATATTCTTGAGAATATACGCTAATATAATAATTTATCTGATATATGTTGTACTATCGTGTGTTATATTTTAACAATGACAAAAGTAAAAATATTTGGCAGTCTACCACATGTAGAGCCGTTCTAGAGCGTCATAAATGTGTAGTGAAGAATAACCCCAACTTCCCAATTTTTTAAGAAACTTTAGAAGTCGAACGTTAACTATTTATACCCAGGGCCTAAACGAGAGGCCAATTTTGACGGATCTCAACCGTGCGACAAGGCAGCGGGAGTTCCATATGAATGAAATGTGTTCTAAAGAGGGACACGAAACCAAACAGATCCGCCGAAATAAACAGCGATCGATGTTCAGATGTGTCACCAGGACACACGCTCCATTATAAATACGCTACTGAACTTTATTTATATTGGAGAAAAGTGTAGTGTTTTCAGCGTGAAGGTGAAAATAAAGAAAATATATTGCAAAAAAATATAAAATAATTGTTTTTATGAAATCAATATAAATGCATTCATAGAACACCCATATTTTATAAAATGATTTATATTACAATTTATTAAGTTTTATGGAGAGTACTATTTATATCGATATATTTGTAAACAACGCCAGAGTTACCTCCCTGTTATAACGCAGTACTAAATATTGATTATAGAAACGAAGTACAATCAGGTTCAATGTACTTGTCATAATTCAGTATCGCACAGTATTTACAAAACTCTTTTCTTTGAAGAGGAACTAGCTACGATTTTTTACGGAATAAGCTGAAAAAACAAAGTATGTTTTTTTCGTGGACACATAATATGTTTATTTTTACAACAACTACATAATTTGTTAACACAAATCTATTTTCGTGTGATGTATCGTGAAAGGAAACACCAGGACTAAAAATAAGTTAGATTTAAGTGTAAATCAATTTATGATTAAACATTTTCAATTTTAGATTAAACAATTTTAATATTTGCATGTATATGAATTCAAGATTGACGTCAGTCCAGAGACATGTATATATAATTTAGACTTGTTAATATATTATATATATAATTTATATAATTTAATTTAGTAACTGCATCAGTTTTTTTTCAAACTAATCCACGCCTAGAAAGATTGAATGTTGATTGTTGCTATTTTTAGATATTATATATATAATATATATAATATACCAACAATATATATATAATGGTTTACTTTTATAAATTTTGACTTGGATGGAGAGTTGTCTCATTGGCACTCATACCACATCTTCTTATATCTATTGTATATATATATAAGTACGTCTGAAGCAGTGACAACTCTACAACAGATTTATCCATCGGATCACCAGCAGTGATGGTGATACATGGCTGTGTACATTCTGTATATACAACTCGTCTAAACATCAGCCCAACAAAATTTTTTTGTTCTTCCCTCGCCGGGATTCGAACTCATGCTACTGAGATATCGTGACACCAAATCGCCTGCACTGTATCCGACGCGCTATACATACAAGTCTAAATTGAAAACAATTAACGTTCAAACCTATGATTGCGTTGGATAAAAACCGCAATTTTTATACGTGTGCATGCAAAACAAATTTCTTGGTAGAGGGGTCTAAATACAGCACAAACAACATTTTCCAAAAGACCAAAAAAGTGAAAAGTATATTTTAACAAAACGCATTTGACTAGCAGGTCGAACAACGGATGTTCTTAAACCCTGCTGACTGCCATTGGCGATTGCCAAATAAACGGATCACCAGATGTAACAAAATGGATCTTAACTATTAAAATTAATTTAATATCAAACAGAAAACATTAAACTTGCGGAAAAGATGGTATACCGCAAACAAAAGGTGCAAAAATTAGTACACCATATCCGGATTTCGACAATTAATGTCTCTTCAGTGATGTTAGGAATCGAAACGGTATTTGGAAGACCATATAATTTACCTCAATTTAGGATAGACTCTTGAATTTTGAAGAGTCGAAATAGGATGAACGGATCATATAAACCCGAAGGCAAATATAATACAAGCCCAAACGAAAAAACATAAACAAATCTAAATTGAAAACAACGTTCAAACCTATGATTGCGTTGGATAAAAACCCCAATTTTTATACGTGTGCATGCAAAACAAATTTCTTGGTAGAGGGGTATAAATACAGCACACACAACATTTTCCAAAAGACCAAAAAAGTGAAAAAGTATATTTTAACAAAACGCATTTGACTATATATATATATACTGGGACTATTATACTATTTATAGTTAGTATAATAGTCCCAGATATATATGTGTGTGTTATGTCTCTGGCTAGTCTTACTAGTGTGGTAAAATAAGAACTTACAGACTATTTAAGGACAATATCTATATGGAAAAATATTTATTAATCTTTAATGAAGACGAAAGGCGACTAATCACTAGTTCAGAGTCAGAGTTTACACCAGGGTCACATGCCTATCGGCTATCATCGGAGGTCAGGTCAATTGTTAGTTAGATATCTTCTAGTCCTCAAATGTTGATACTTTTTACGATTTCATTTCATGCATTGTGAATTGTATCTTATGACAATTTCATAATTATAATGTGCGTTTTAATGTGTTATAAATCGAACTTTAGAGTGTGAGTCAATTTGATGAACATGACTTTGGCAGCTTTTAAGTATATTCAAATTTCAAAGTTTGTTTACTGATCGACTGACCCGTTTCTTGCATGCTGAAAAAAGATGTATAAGCAAATGGGCGCATTACAACAATGGGCAATTTTATTCAGCACATCCATGTGTTAGTGGTATTTTTGTGTTTTGTGTTTTCTGAAAGCAGTGGACTTTAAATATTCAGAACGTACGACATGTAAAATCAGTACTTTTAATCTTTAAATTTGATATGTTTTTACATTTTTATATGTTTATATGTCCCGTCCTAAGTGATTGTTCATAATAAAACGAACTTATCCTGCTCGAAAATAATAATTAAATAAATAAATATGTATAATCTACCAGTGTATTTACCTAAATTTACCTGTAAAAATATGCGCGCAAATGTAATCAAAAGCTGCGCGCAAATGTAATGCACCGAAGCAAATTGATTGAAAGAAGGGATCTTCCATTACAGTTTTACTGTATAAAATTAAAATAAAAATTGTAAAAAATTTGTGGTTTTAACGTCAAGTACGATGCATGTTTTTATATATTACTGTGGCTTGAAATCCCAAATTTCACATTTATGTTGTTTAAAATTGTAAAAGGTTCGTTATTTGAACCATACGCAGTTAGGGCCACTATACTTGTACTTTTCTTTATACTACACAAACCGAGTAACATACTCGGATTAGCTGAGTTAAGATATTATAGTTACATGTATTTTGATGAAATGTAACATTGTCTTGCATAATATAAACCAACTTGAAAAAGAGAGGCGAAAGATACTAAAAGGACATTCAAACTCTTAAGTCGAAAACAAACTTACAACGCCTTGGCAAAAAAAAAAGAAGAAAAAGACCAAAAGACAAACAACTGTACACAAAACACAACATAAAAAACTAAAGACTGAGCAACACGAACCCCACCAAAACTGGGGGGGGGGGGGGTGATCTCAGGTGCTCCGGAAGGGCAAGCAGATCCTGCGCCACATGTGGCACCCGTCGTGCTGCTCATGTAAGTATAAACCCGGTGATAAGTCTAATTCGGTAGGTTACATTCGGGGAAAAGAGAGTAATGTGTAAATATATAGTGGTTCAAATTATGTAACATCAAGGCTTGACTGGGGTATAGACATATGATCATCCCAGATAACTCCCATTCCAGCAGAAAAATCCTTGCTAGAGTTTTGCGTTCATTTTGGTTGTTCGGGATCTATAAATACGCAGTCACGTCCGGTCAGAATGTGGACGCTGAATCCGATGCCTCGTGTAAAGAGAGAGAGTTAACGCTCTCCATTGAACGGTATAAAGAACCATTACATTGAACTTTATTGAGGAGTCCTAGGAGCCCTATCCAAAATATCCTCATTTTCAGTGTCGGTCCTAATTTCCCGCAATAAATCATGGTTGGGTCCTACCTTGCAGAACCTACGAATTGTTACTTTGTCAAAGTCTCGTCCTAGGGGGGTTCCTAACCCAGGATAAAAGTGGGGTTCCAACTATATGTCCCCATTCAAATGCATTGATCGTAAAAAAAAGGGGGGGGGGGTTCCAACCACTGTATAGCCCAATCTTTAAGCTTTAGTTAAAAAGATAAGGAGATGTGGTATAATGATTTGTATATTTTATATTTTATGAACTATTGTTTGCCTCTTTTTTTTCTTTTGGACATGCGGTCATTAGTTCATTCTTTACTCCTTGTTTTGATTTTGATTAGTTTTGCTACAACAGAAAGAATTCAGAATTTTGGGTATTTGTGTGACATTCACTATGAAAAGTTTAATTGAGACGATAAAACTACAACACCAGAAACACAGATATATACAAATTCAGTCAACAAAACTTAGATAAACATAGTAATTAAATGTCACTAATTAAAGTAAAAATAGTACTAATATAATTGAAGAATCAAGGGGTACTCAAGTTCAAGAGATACTAGAGTATAAGGTTCGTTATAACACTCCAACAAATTATTGCTAACATCCGTTTGTGACATTATAGATGACACGAGTATATAAAGGAAATCTGTACAGACCAATGATAATCAGTACGGGGAATATTACAGAGAAAACTACATATGTCCGTTTTGGTTATAAAATATGAGTAATACTATGTTATATTATTACTCTTGGTGTTGTTGTGTATTTTTGCTATTGGCTATTGACTAGTGGCTATTAATTCCGATATAAAAGTTTAGTAA